AAAGTTAAAGTTAATACATATAGAAATTCAGAGTGCTTATATTTAGAAAATGTAATTGATACATGCATTATTATATTCAAAGATTTAATATAAAAGATTAGCATAATAAAAAAAAATTATAGAGATAAAAAAGATCAACATGCATATTGATTTTTTTTTCTTGAATTACTGTAATTTAGAAGTATAATATTCAGGGTTATCTTTAGATAACTCATTATGTTGTTTTAACATTCTCCAGATTTTAAACTTTTGATTAAGATGAATAGAAGATGAATAGATAATGCGTACAGAAGACGATAACATCAAACAAAAATATACAAATTTTGCTTTAGTGGCTCTTTCATGAATGTTTGAATGTTAAACTATTAGAGATAAAAATAGAATATATGAGAATTAATATCCACTGTTCGACTATTTGTTCCCGTCTTGGTTAATTCCAAGTCTGGGTCGGGTCGGGTCGTGATAGAAAGGGATCTACCACCTATCCTCGGGGCAAGCTACATACACACCACTTACGAAAGGAAGAAGTTACAACACTACAGAGAGCATAACTCAGAGAAATATCTCCCAAAAAATATAAAAACTAGTTGAGGATCCAAAAACCATAATACAACCTATATAAAAGCCCCCTAGTAGAAAATAACATGATTAGAAACTAGAGAAATATATAAGAACCGGTAAAGAAAGAAGCAAATTAAGTTAATTTGCTGATAAATAAAGGAAAAAAAAAAGTAAAAACAAAATATAAATAAAATTTCCTTTGTAATTGAACTCCCGCAATTGCAAGAGTCGATACCATAGAACTACGGTATTATGGGAAAATGCGTTTCGCATCACTCTCCCTAAAAAGGAGGGGTTTCTCCCTCGTATCCTAAAACATCTAGGCCCACGTAGTATGACAATAAATTAGTGATATTAAAAGCAGTAGAAATTAATCCTGTAGGCATTGTCATTAAGAGAAAATAGAGTTAAGAGATAGATGGGTGGAGGAGAGGGGGGTTGTTTAGGTTTGAGAGATCAAAAGAGAGGCTCATAACTAAAGTAAGAGGGAGAAGGAGAGAAGACTTTGCAAGATCAAATTTTAACAACCAAACAAGCCTTGCATAAGCTTATGACCTCATCACATAGAGGAAGCAAATACAACTACATCAATCACAACATATAAAACACATAGGCATCCAATGTAAGTACTAAATAGCAACATTTACGTGGAGAAGGTTGGAATTGTAAAGCCTGAACCAGGCCTTAACACAAATTGAATCGCGGTCCTCAGCTCAACTGGATGTAGCAGGAGTGTACCATCTTCTGGACCTGAGGTGTAACAGGGGTTGAGTGTTGTAGTGATTAGCCAACCTGCCTTAGAAAAGCCCTATAACTACATTACCCATCAAACAAAAATCTTCTCTTAAAGTAGACCTACACCGGTTGCTATAGAAGAAACACTGAGCCAGCCAATGATAGATGTTAGCACACCCCAGTGATCCACAGTGGCATCAATAACTAAGCTACTAACCACTATGGCTCAATATAAAAGATGCAAAACACAAAAATAACTTAAAGAGCATAGGCTCAGGGAGAACTAGTATTCTCTAATGATCCATTCTGAGTCTTTAAGCCAATATTAGTCTAAATTTGGTTCCTAATCACATAAAATCACTAGTATAGCTAAAAGTTTATCCATGAATTTCTTCTTGCTAATGGGTGAGCTAAGTCAGAAAAAAATGATTTCAAATTGCTTTTGGTCGACCTCCAATGATTTAGCTAAAAGGGTACTTCATTGGAAGTAGCAAGCAATAGCAGACAATTCATAAACCATAGGGTCCTAAATTTTCTTATGCAAGAGACAAAAGGTAGCATGCATGAACAACAGAAGCGAAGAAAGTTATACAGCTTGACCATACAATATTAAAAAAAAATACATTATTAATAAGCTTCTCCCAAACAAGAAAAGAAAATTTGGAGATGACATGCCACAACTTTTTTTTTTTTTTTTTTTTTATTCTTTCAATTATGGTTTTCATTCAAAAAAAAGCTCAAGGAAAAAAGCTCAACGATGAAAGGAAATATGTCAAGAATTTCATATATAAATTAAAAGTGAGTACAGTCTGCTAGGAAACATAAGCTGATAGAAAGGAAAGGATAAATTGAATCTTCCCATCCTGGAGTCAAAAGTTCAAGCAATCAAAATTACTGCCAAATTCCATTCAAAAAAAGAAGGATCAATCGGAAAAATCAGATTCATTTGTTTTAATATGCTGCATTTCTAATCTATTCAAGGAGCACAAGGTAGATAGAATATGCAAAATTCTCAAAAAATTGGCTTCAGATGATTGAGATGATAAAGCAAATCTAAATGGAACAATTCTCGTGTAGAAGGGAAAAATCCAATGGTCATACAGGATAAGTACATGAGAGTTTATCATTACAAATCCAAATGGAACAATCGATTTTGACTTGCCAAATAATAGCAATAAAAATTTATTAAAAAAATAATAGTTATATACTTGTATAAAAGCACTTTAGAATGGCATTTTAGCAAAAAAAATATAATAAGTTCAAAATTTTACAGAGGACAATAGCTTACCCTACTTGGCTAATAAGGATAATGAAACTGGCTTGAATCCTAGTACAATTTCACACCAAGTGTCATAAAAAAATATCAAGAATATTAAGATTCCATAACAAACCCTAATAGGATTGTCCAGGTTTCAAAAAAAAAATGTCCTTATTTGGAAAATAGATTGCGCTATTATGGCTCTAGAACTACTGCTATTTTGACAGAAATATCAGTCTACTTATTCAAATTTCGAGTCTCTGCAGCAACCTACATATGCTACAGTCACTTCTGTTGATTCAACCAAGCTGTTTGATCATAACAATAAAACTGATCTAGGCCTTCCATTAAAAACTCCGTTGGCCATATAACAGAATGGCTAATATTTTTGTTCTTCTATAATATAAATAGAAAATAGAATACCTTATTGTGACTGTAATTAAATAGTTGAAACAATGAAATAACCTTTCTTCTACTATACAGAAACCTTCCCCTCTGTTTCAAGACTTAGTCCAAATCCTGATCAACGCACATTGATCATAATCTCACGATTGCCCTCCATTTCGCCGTCACCATTTCTTTCATGTGGCAAGCCCTGAATCTTGTTCAGAAATTTGAAAGACCAATTTCTGAATCATTCCATTAAAAAATTAACTCCATTTTTCTATGAAAAATCAAACAATAACTCAATGCCTGTCCAATATCAAATCTCTGATTGCTAATATTATATTCTCATATAGACATTAAAGATATCAGCCTTTATATTTTCAATGGCCTCCCACCCACCAATCAAGTTTTCAAAACCACAATCCGTGTCAAAATCAAATCAATTAGTCTTGATCTCTACTTCCATCTCTGTAGTGAGGAAATCAATATAGCTAACTTAACATCAAACTCAACTCAATTTTTACTCTCCTCACACTCTGACCATGTCTATGGCCGTCCCTACAGAGGTCATGGCTGTTGATACTTTCTACAATTTGCAATGGTATAGTTGGCATCGTTGCAATCCTCTCACATAAGGGCGACTGACCTTTTACAATCCAATTGTTTGCCAAATTTGCAACAAAATAAAGCATTGTGCCCTTCATTTTTGGCATCATTGAATGAGTAGGTTACTGTAGGAAACGACACTTCCATTTCAATATCCTAAATTAAACAGGGAATCCTGCCTACTCTCACTCATAAGCTTCTTCTACCTACACTTCTAAATGTCCTTCTACTGTCTCATAGTTTTCTCTCAATTCACAACATTGCCACAAACAATAACAATTTCCCCTATATGGTTCCGATAGTATTTGCATCAATGACAAGATGACAAAACAAACCATCCTCATAAGTTCTTGCCATAATGGTCTGTCTTGTTTGATCAAATTGGAATCTATCAACTATCACTGCACTGTTATCCAATCCTGCAATAACCACTCTTTGGCATTGTCAACTCGGTAATCCCAATAATTCAACTCTCTTGGTATAGCAGGAAAACAAAAGCATCTTTATATTCCATTTAGTTATGCCTTTTGAAATCCTTGCATTTTCGCAAAAATTCAAAAACTTGCCTTTACTAATTCTATGGCACATATGCACGGATCTTTTAAACTTCTCCACTCTGATGTAGGAATTTATACAAACAACCCAAAAAACATTCACGAACAATCATCCTATTCAAATTTTACATTCTATAATGCTACATGATTTGAATAGCCACTTCAAAATTCCAAAAGAATTTGTCTATGGATATGGCTTGATGCAAGTAATTTGATGTATCTTGTTTGACAAAGCAGGAGACATGTCTGAGCAACCACAACCATTGTTGTGATGTTAACTAGCCATATCATAAACAATAATATATTAAACAAACTAAAATTGAGTTCTTAAGTTGAAAAAAAAAAACTCTTAATGATTCCGGAACTAGAAAATTTATGACAATGTAACTGAATAGTTTAAATGTGGAAACTATTCTGGTTTGCTCTCACAAATATTTTCTAAGAGTTGTTGCCTTGTTGGCAATTCTGAAGAAAGTTAGTACGAAAAGCACTGGGATATTTTGTACAAGTTGAACAGTCTCATAAAAAATGATTGTAATGATCTAAATATGATAAAAGCATTGCAACTATTGCAAATAAACAAGAAAGTATGAAAAAAAACAAACATTATAAGCAAAAGTAAATGGAAACGATTAGAAAAAAAAAACAAGAGCATTTAAAGACATGCCAACCAATTCCTATATATATTTACATATATAACACAAACTTTGGTTTCTTACATTAATACCACCCATGTCTTTCACATCACATCAAAAATATCATCACTTCAACTTTTAAAAGTGAAATACATCTTGTCATGCAGAGGTAAGGTGGTTATATATGTTAATAAATAAGAATTGAGTGGGGGGTATGTAAATCTTCCTAGAAACCATTACTTAAGACAGGTAATAGATGCTTACACGAGCAGCCATTTGAGCCCATTTGTTGCCAAATTTAGCATGCATTTGAATAATGGATTCCTCCTCCTCTGGAGTGAGCGCTCCTTTTTTCAATTCTGGTCTAAGATGATTTGCCCAACGTAGACGACAACTCTTCCCACACCTACGGAGCCAAGTGTTTCTCTGAACAGTATTCCAATTCCCCTCTCCATGTTTTTTCACAAAATCTATCAACACAGCATCTTCTGCAGCTGTCCATGGTCCTTTCTTCAAAACCGACACTTCCCTGGTAGATGGTGATCCACTCCGGCTATCTTCATCATTTGATGATGAATCAACCTGCTCTTTTGGCTGCTTTTCTGTGTCAGCATCACTTTTTGCAGAGCACATGTTGGCAAACTAAGAACATAGGTTGAATATTACTTGCAAATAAGAAAAACACAGACAGAAGACAGTAAACTACTAAAAAATGAATTTTTAATAATATATTATCAACAACAACGGTACAAAGCAGTTCAAATCAACTGTGCTTGGTTTCAAATATTAAAATTAAAAAAAAGAGATAAAAGAAAAAAACAGGAGATTGGTAGATATCCTAATACTTTCAAGCAACAACTTTTAAATGAATCCTCCTAATGCTTTTAATTGGATCAAAAGCACAAACCTTAAAAAAGGGGGACAGAACAAGTTGGTGTGGGGAGAAAATCAAACACAAACAGAAGAAAAACATGAGCGTAGTAAAAAAAAAAAAGAGGAAAAAAAATTAGATTAAACAAACAGAATCAAGCAAATGTGAGCTCAATTTTTTAGAAAAGGAAAACCAACATAAAATTAAGGCTGCGTTTGGATGCTTTTGAAAAGTTTAAATTTATGATTGAGGCATCATCAGTAACCCATAAATTACTGTAATTTTATTGAACTCCCCCCACTTTCCTTCAAACCAAACAAAGCCCAACGGAATTTGAAAATGGTAATGCAAACTCCAGAAATCAAACAGTTGTTTCTGAAATTAAAGCGCAATGCACGCTTCTACAAAAACATACATAAATACAAAAACAATTACCATCTTAAGCACTACTATGAAAAAGCTCGGTAGGCCAAAAATTAACTGCAGGACGAGAGAAATTGAAACCCATTAATAAATTAAAGAACGAGATGTTATGCTAACCCCAAACCACTCATACAAACCAGATCCATAACTCAATTAACCAATCGCACCAAAAACCCAAAACCCAGACAAGACAAATGATCGCATTTAACAACTCCACCAAGACCCTCACGATGGTAAATCCCAAACAAAGAATTACAAGCCCAAACCACCCAATTAATCATCAACGAAGTGAGGAAGACGAAACCTCAAATCATCCCGCCCGAAATTAATCATTTGAGGGAGAGATTGTCGGCAATCGAGAGAAAAATATGGCGAAATCGCCAGCCCCAAATCCCATTTTGTTATCATTAAGGTTTTAGGGATTAAGCTTAAAAATTGATATCAAATTGATATGAGGAATAATTCTCAGAAATTTTTCATAAATTTTTCAAAAAAAAATTTACCGGCGTCGGGCGGACCCAATCAGCTCTCCTCACCACCAACTTTGGCGCCGGAGCAGCTTTCAGCAGTTTTGCAGCTAGTTGGCGAAGAGCTCAGCATGACTGGTAATGTTTGTTCTGTAGCCTTAGCTTAAACATTAAATTAAATTTGCAATTTAAATTATTATTTTCATGAAAAGTGCCGGAAAAGAGGAGCAAGGTTTCCTAAAGAAATGCGCCACTTTTTATTCCCTCAATTCTTTTTTAAATTAATATTACAAATTTTCACTTGACTGCCAAAAAAAGATTTATGTAAATATTTTTTTAGGACTAGAGCAATTAGTATTTTTTAATTAAATTTGAATAAGCTCGTATGGGGAGGCAAAGTTAGTTGATAAATTTGCACATATAGACTTAGAAATTATGAATTTTGTAGGAGCATGAGGTTTGGGCCAAGGTCTTTAGTTATTTTCTAGATTTGTAATGAGAGAGAGAGAGAGGGAGAGAGAGAGATTTATCAACTTAATGTCATGCAAGAATAACATGCATTAATAGAAGAGTTGCAAATAGCATAAAATGAATATGAAGCAATACCTTAGAAGAATGATATGCATGATTCGAATCGATAATGTTACGGCGGAAGATTAAACACTCAATCACTTTGTTACCAATAAGTGCATAATGTTTATTGATAATTGTAATCTAGTAGTAATCAATATCTGCATTTATTGATATGCAACAATAATGCAGAATTCAGATAGAGGTGCACAACTTGTATCATTCAATGGCACGCATCATACACTACGTGATGGAGCACATGGAATAAACAAAGATAGTTTATGGCAGACAATAATAGAGACATATGTCAAATGTTTCATGATAAAAGGTGGTCAACATAACTATTCTCCTCATATTAAGAGAAACTCTACAGATAAATAGGTAGAGAAATATGTCAATTACAAGTATAACATTCTATATGATCGGGAATTTTCCCCATTAAGATATGTCAATAATGTTTGAAATATGATCTTTGGTCTACATCCCACGTTCTTGAATGAAGCTTGGCCTTTCATCAATATCCAGTGGTGATAATACAATGTTTGCCAACTCTAAATCATTAATAGGATAATGTTTCTCGTGCAACTTCAACTGTTTGGATGCATAATCAATAACTCTCTCATTTTGTTGTAACACGCAACCCAATCATCTCAAATAACCATCGGTGAACACCTAAAACCCTTAGTACCAGTTCAAAATATCAGAATAGGCACCGACACCAAGAAATCCTCCAACTTCTGAAAACTAGCTTCACACTTAAGTGTCCACTCAAAATGAACTATTTTTTGAGTCAACATAGTCAGATGAAATGCAATATTTGAAAAGCTCTTAACATACTTCCTACAATATCTTGCACTGCCAAGAAAGCTACAAACTTCAGACACTGTAGTTGGCATGGCTAATCAACAACTGCCTCCACTATTTGAGGATCAACATACATACTATTGTTACTCACCACATGGCTCAGAAAAGTGATAGCTTTCAACCAAAATTGACACTTCGAGAACTTAACATGTAGTTGATGTTGTCTTAATATCTCTAACACCATTCTCAAATGAATCGCATGATCATCTTCAGACTTGGAATACACCAATATATCATCAACAAAGACAACAACAATTTGATCTAGATGTGCTTTAAAGATACGGTCCATCAGATCAATTAATACAGCTGAGACATTAGTCACACCAAAAGGCATGAACAAGAGCTCATATTGGCCATAACTAGTATGAAAAGTTGCCTTTGGTACATCTTCCTCCTTCACCCTCAACTGATGATACCCAGGTCTCAAATCTATCTTTGAAACATAGATGCACATTCATGTTGGTCAAGCAGATTATCAATCCTGGGCAATGAATACTTGTTATTATAAGTCACTTTATTCAACTCTCCATAATAAATGTACATATGTATCATACAATCCTCTTTTTTTTGTACAAACAACACGGGTGCACCCTAAAGAGATATATTTTTGAATTAATTTGTGGTTAACCTTGCAAAATCTCCTAGGAATTCTCTTGTCCGCTATGAGATTACAACCTCCTATTGGCAATATTTCTATTTTACTAAGTAATTGAGTGCTAAGTTACTCGTTTTTCTTATCTACGGTCAGTAGACCTAGACCACAAGATGTTTTAACATTTCCATTTATCAGATTAAAAACAAATGAAGATTATAATGGTAACACACTAACATGCAAGAAAATCTTAGAAATTATTAAAAAAATATCATGAATATAATACAATTCATCAAACATTCAAATCAAATAAGCACATATAAATTAGTTCATAGGAATGTTCAGATAAAATAATGCAATTTTCATTGAAAGCCAAATTGAAAATGTTTTACAAATAAGAACAATCTAACCCATGAGAAGTCTTTGGGCTAGGACAGTGGCACAAAGAATTGAGAGAAGGGAACATCCATCAATCAATTTTTGTCAGACATAAATTATAAATTAATTGGCCATCTAATATACCCCATTTAAGAGAAATTTACACACATGACATGCAATTCTTATGCATTTACATATCTCACACCCAAATCTTCATATTTACCCACATACATACCATTCTACCTATGCTTGAAAAGGTTTATTTCAGTCATCAATAATTATATTTAGTAGTAGATTTGATGTGATAAGAAAGAAATGAGTGGTATGTGAATCAATACGAAGATTTGAGTGTGGCATACATAAATGCATAAGAATTGAGTGCTATGTATGTAAATGCCCCTATATTTAATTATCTAATTTTTTTTCGTAACGAAGATATGCGAGAATTAGAGAAATAAATATTTGTACCTAAATAACCTGCCACACGATCATGGCCCGTTAATCAGACCCATGGATGAATCCAGGTTATGGTCAAAGAAACAAGCAGTTTGGCATGTATACAAGTGCTTATGACCAATTATACATGTCGAGTTTTCATATTAAATTAGGGGCATGACCATGTATATCACCCAATTCTTATGTATTTATACATCTAACATCGACATTGCTTTTAACATTTATACTACTCAAATCTTTCATATCAGATAAAAAAATAACATTATTTTATTTTTGAAAAAGTTAAATAGGCATTTTCATGCATAGACCGGGTGGAATGGCCTTAAGAAGGTGACACTCGAACACATTAGCAGTGACTGGATGCTTGTATAAAATCCTTGGGCCATTCCTTTATAAAAAAAAAAAGGATATATATATATATATATATATATATATATATATTG